AATTCAGACATCAAAATTGTTCAGGAAAAATAACTACCATATTCAAAACTAACAAATAGTTCATTTCATCGCGAATGAATCATATGCACTATTGAAGTAGAGCATAGTCAACATCACCAACGATTTCCCATAAATTACAAAAGATTGGTACTAACCCTATAATTACAAATCGCCAAGATCAGCTTAACAAGGCTCAATAAATTGAACAAATAAACAACAACCACAAATTGGAATTTCCCCCCAAAAATAAATAAAATGCAACCTAATTTTTCGAATCCCATAATATCCATGAATCAAAGTAGCATAAACCTAAATTTTCTCAGAATAAAAATAGATGAACCCTAATCAAACACTCGTACAAAACAATAACAGATGCAGGGAATACAATAATATAAAATATCCTAAACCCAAAAGATGAAATCAACAAAACGGAAAAATAATAGCAGGGCAACTCATGAAATGATTCAATTAGACAAAAACAACACATTAAACAAAGGTAAACAAGACGAAAGAAACAAACGGATAAAGAACATATCAATTATGGACAAGAATGCGAAACCAGAAGAAGATTAACTTACAGAAAGATGTAAAATCGGAGAATTTATAGAAAAAGTGCAAGGATTGGATTGTATTGGGCTGAGGTAGGGGTGTTATATAAAAAAGGGCCTCCTCGTGACCACAACAACGCACTTTTTTATAGACACTTTGCTTTTTTAAACTACGTCGTATCTTAGTCGGTTTGTTTTGTGTGTTTCTACGGTTGAGATTATAAGATGTTTACAACGATGAAGGGCTATGATTTTATTACACGTCCAAAGTTCGAAGATAAAGTGACATACAGGAGGTTTGTGCGTCCTACGCACGCTGCCATTGAAAAGATTCCATTTGGCCTTTAAATAAAGGGTGATGAAAATGATATATATTCGATTGTTGATTAAGGTACAAACGGTGTCGTGACGATTTTAAAACTCGGCCCAAATTTTAAATTTTAAATTTTAAATTTAAATAATATTTTATAGTTATTTGTATAATATGAAAAAAAAACCATCTAAAATTAAAAAAGACATCATAAAGTGGAATAAAAATTATATGATATAACTTCATGTAAACTATTTAAAAATTATCTGAAAATTAATAATAGAAGACACTTTGTGTAAATACGATGGACGTTGGTTCTATATTGTAAAGTCACCAACGACATCTCTGAAGAAGGAATCAAAGAATAAGATGGGGGGGTTTAAAATGGTGATAGTACATATGTTCAATCCATTCTTATAGTTGTAAGCCCTAGAGGGATCGTATGTTTTGTTCCTAGACTTCAATCCAAATGTGTTTGTTAAGTGTAGGCATATAGCTCCATTTAAACACTCAACAATCCTCCACAATAAGTGATGTGGGACTTGTTGCAACAGTGTTATAGGCTTTTCCTCAAGTGTAGATTATTAGAATTAATAAATAATTGTTGTACCCATTAATTGTTGGAATTATGAGTCAAATCAAATCAATTAGTATTGCATTGAGATATGAGTTTCCTACATATTTTTGTAGAACTACATCATATATTATATAGGAATTAATATAAAAATGTATTAGGATAGGAATATAATCCTATTAGGAATAGTTCTTAGGTATTACTTATAAAAGGTATTAAATCATAGAGATTGGTAAAGGCAAATGACACAATTAGCGTGTAAGAGTCACTAAAACAGCTTTAGAGAAAAAAACAAATTTGTGTGAAACTAAGAGATTCTTGTAATTTTTATCGACAAAAGTAGATATAACTATCATACGAAAGTGAAACTATATAAATTATCGTGTCTGTGTGTGATTTTATAAATTGTCGTTTCATAACATCTAGTACCAAAATCATTATAACAATATTGATGATAGTAATTTAAAATTAACATAAATATTATATTAAAAACTTCATAATATGTTTATTTAATAAAAAAAAGTATAGATGTTTCCTAATTCCTACGTTGAGAAGGATTCTCAAATCACAATGGAGTTGATGCAGTGTTAAGAAGCCTACCCAGCCTGATTTGAATTTCCGTTTTAGTTTTTTAAGTTTAGTCTTACACATGGCCCAATTTCATATTATTTTCTAACCTCTTTTTATTTGTGCCCCTTTTCTGATTAAAGTAAACAGCTTTTCACCTTTATCTATCTGCTTGGAAGTTTGATGGCAGCGGTTACGAGGGTAAACCATGATAGCGGTTTTGAGGATAAACTACTGTAGTAGTTTTGAGAGGTTTTTAGTAGCAGTTTTTAAAATACCCAACCGGTGTTGGGGAGTTTATTTTCCAGCAGTTCTAACAGTTTTTTAAAATGATAAGTTTACATATATACCCATAAAAATACCCCAACTTCAACCAATACTTGGGAGTTTTTTTTTTTCAATTACCAATACCTAGTATCAAAGTTCCTTCCAAGTTTAATTTATTTGTAAGTTCTTTCATTGTATATTATTTAATTTATTTGTATGTTTTCACTAAAATATGTAATTTAGTTGATAACATTCGTTATGTTGGCACTATTAGCATACTTGGTAATTTGACTTCCACTCAACAACTAGATTTGCTGAAAATATATGCAAAAGAAGCCAAATTGAGCTTCCCACATTACCAATGAGTTCGGGTTTTCTATTGAATAACCCAATTCATATCCAAGAACAGCAAACTCTAAAAGAGAACTGTTCAGAAAAATAAATAGTTTGAATATAAGCAACCAAAATTGAAGCAAAAATTTCAAGAATTATCACATGTTTAAAGAGATATAGGTGCATTTTTAACTTCCTCAAGCAGAGAGACTATTTTCTACCAAAACATACTCTGCCCAGCATCAGTAACAACGTGGTTTCTCATCTTCACTAGAATAGTGTAGATTTTTTCATAAGAAATTCATAGGATGCAAAAACTGCATTCATTAGCATTGTGTAAACCTCGTCCCATGGTTGCCTGTTTTGAGGGATAAAAATAAACAGTCTGGGTAGGTGTAAGCAATTGGAGATGATGGAACCATTTCAACACAACCATGGAGGCAATAGTATTATTAACTACAATCTCTGCAATAAATCTGCAAGTGAATTGTTGAAAGCACAAAAACTCAAATGTGATTAATTTTACCACTAACTGAAAACCTAATTAAAAAGAATAACCTATTGCAAATCTAAGGCAAATCAATTAAGAAGAACAAAGGATCCTTCCCTCATTTATGCATGGCATGGTAAACCCAAACAAAAAATGAGAGAGAAACAAACCTTGTTGAGAGAATTGAAGAAGCTAGAGAAGGAAGAATCAAACGAAGAAAAGTCAGTCTTTTCCTTTGGCCCTCTATCCTATGACTTTTTTTTAGCAGCAAAGGGATTATTGTATATCACGGAATAATTGTGGAAATGGGTTTTTTTGGGATAAAATTTTTAAACCAACCAAAACACCCCGATTTGGGGTGTTTTATAAACCCCTAAAAAATATACTACACTGGTTTTTGAGGGTTTTAAACCAGTCCACAAAAAATCTGGCAAGTAATGGTTTTTAAACACCTCAAAACCAGTTTAATTAAAAAACCCCCCAAAACTAGTGCAAAAAAAAAAAAAAAAAACTCCCGAGCAGACCCTAAGTGTAAAGTGTCTCTTAAATGTAGTTTATAAAACTTGTGCCTTCTAAGTGTTATGTTAGAAAAATATNGAATGACTGCTGCTGATCTTCGCATAAAGAAGATAATTATAATTTCATTGGATGAAAACGATAACCAAGTCTCTTACTTTTGACTTGGTAATAATCTCACCAACTGTGTTTAAAATATTTTTCAGAGTAAACGACATGTTCCCACCCAAGGTTTGCCGAAACCCCAAGTCAGTACCACTGGTTTCATTTATTCTAGATTCCCACCCTTAAAGTGACGAAAAAACGTTTGATGTAACGGTAAAGAGGTAAATTGGTCATTTTACATGGGCAGCGCACGTTAGCAAACCACTGCCTCTAACAGTTCTCCGGCGCACGTTAGCAGCCGTCGCTCCTGACGTTTTTCACTCTTTTCCGGCGATTCTTCCACCTAAAATCACCCTTGTCACCACCATTTGAACCCCCATCCTCCCCTCTACAAAACTATACCATTCACAACCCCTCATCACTCGCCGATCTCCGGCCACGGCAACGAAAAACGGCCGATGAACACGCACTCTTGGCCGGCGAATGACGACGAAACGCTTGCTGGGGACATAGGGGTTCTATAGATTTGGGGACAGTGGTTGCATTGGTGGTGTCCAATTGGATTTTCACCATCGGAATCGACCGGAATCCGGTGAAGAACACCGAAACCCTAAGCCTAACGGTGCCGNTAATTATCCCCTTGTTATCTTAATTAGGCATATTAATAAATAAGAGTCATTATATATAATATAAGATACCCGTATGTATCATATCTGGGAGATTGGGACCAATGATGGAATTCTCCAAAATAATGGACTTTAGAGGAACATGAAAGAAAGAATTGATGGTTAATTCGTGATTAAGTATTAGGATGATAGGTACTGAAGAGTTATAGCAGCTGGACAGAAAAAAAGATGAACCGATTGCGTAAAGAAAAGTCTGGTCATTAATGGCTTTGCATTCGACTAGTCACAATTTTGAATGTCAGGAATAAGCCCCATCAGTGTGTCCCTTTCAATACAGCAGAACATTGTATGGTAAATTCTAGCCAAGCAATTAGACAAAAGGATCGCTCTGTTCAAATGTGACTGACTAGTAAATTCTTGTTCTGTAAATCTTGCATTATTCTATAAGAAGTACTGAGATCGAAACTAGAGTTTGTCAGAGGGAAAGTACAGTTGAGGGTTTGAATGAGGCCAAAAGCTTCATAATTTTCTTCATATCATTTCTAGCATTTTTAAGCGTTCTTAACGTTGGACTCTGTTTTGCTTTTGCACTAAAGTCTGATGAAATGTGCTTGCGAACAAGAAAACTTCACATAAATCATGCTACAAAAGCACTAAATTCTAGTCACCCAAATGCTTTTTACCATATATTCACATACACCTGAGCTCATGAATCACATCACATAAGCTTAAAATCAAAATATTAGTAGGCACACAAAAAGAACCATGGTACAAGACACTGGCATCTATAAGAAATGCCCCATTTGATTACAACTTAAACCGCATAGTGCTGTACAAAGTTTCATACTATACTTTGGTACAACCCCAAAAATTTTCCAGGCCCAAAACTGAGAAGCATATCATTTTTAAAAGGGCTTTCTCAATTCATTCACTGGTAGAGTATCTTGAAGTCCAGTACTTTTCAATTTCCTCGGCTGTTCTTCCAGGAATTCTTCCAGCAATCAGAGACCACCTGAAGGAATACAACTTAGTGTTAGTAAGCTCCTTGGTGTTTGATTTTTGCATAAAGAAAGAAGAAAATAATTTAACCCCACCTCTCACCAACCAGGTTGAACATCCTAGTTATAAGGGTTTCTTCATCCTCTGAGAATTCAAGCTTTGAGTCTTGACTGGATTGGTCTGCAACAAACACCCGATGAAAATACTAAGTTATTTAATATCATAGCAAAAGGATTCATTGGAATAACTTTCAAATAGAGTAACCTAAAACAAAAACTTTAATCCTAATAGAACCAAAAAAATATGTACAAAACTCCACAAACTTATCATAAGAAAAGAAATCAAAGTCAGCCATTAAGTACTTAAAACGAAGAAAACAAGTAAAGATAATGAAATTAAAAAAGAGGAATTTGAAAAGGGTACCTCTAGAATCCACAGAGGCATCATCAGAAGTCTGATCCAAGTCAGCCATCAAGAGTTGAAACAGCAAAGACCAAGAATTCAAGGATAAAAATAATTGCGTGCAGTGAAAGAGTAGTAAATAAAAAGGTTGAAGAAGTGGGAAGAAAGAAACGGTGTGAATGTGGAATTGAAAGGCAGTTAAGGTGTAGTATTAATAGGAGAGAAGAGAAAATAGTGTTGATGGATGGAGAAGAATGGGCGGTGTGACCGTGAAAGAGAAAGCTGAGAAGAATGGTAGTTGATGGACTAGGTTCTAGTCCAACTTTGATAGGTAGTTGAACACTTACCCGTTGGTTGGTATTGATATCTTTCCAGCAAGATTCTCTTCCGTACTTGTACTCATAACTTTATTTCAATCCCAATTAACTTATTTATGCAATCACTTATCATTGCTTTAAGTTTAACGGTTTTGATATCACTAGACAAGAATTCTTTAGTGTGAGTGTTATATACGAGAGTTTTGCCTTGAAACGAAATGTTTGGTAGGAGAATTATTACGAAAATTATCCGGGATGAATGTTAGCAGTAATTAAGAAAATGACAAAGGAGAAACAGACATACCATAAGACATTTATAATGATTCCTATAAAAATAATATACGAGACGACTACGCCTAGATCTACTCCATCTTTCTAGCTGTTCTTATCTGATTGTGAATAAGACAAATGTTTGAGTCGCCGGACGCTCACCAATCAGCAAGTAGAGAAGCCACCGCAGAGTTTATCTAGTATTTTTGGACTATATATTTGAACCCATTGTAAATTTTATACTGACAATGACAGAATACATTACATTATATAAATATCGTACTGTATATTGTGTAGTTAATTAAATTTTGACATTTAAAGTTTAAATACCAACATCACAATATGATTACTTCATCTCATAATGGACAAAATATGCTTGTAGAGTTGTTGTAGTTGTATTACAAGCCAAATTGTCTCTTCTGTATAAATACTTGTTTGGTGGGAATGGGATAAAATTAATTAACCTATTCCATATAATAAAATATTACCATTGAGAGTGGTTAGATAACTTTCACTGTAGATTGGAAGTTTGTAGATGAATGATAACATGAGGAGAAGCAATATGGGAACGACTGCTGCTGATCTTCGCATTAAGAAGATAATTATAATTTCATTGGATGAAAACGATAACCAAATCTCTACTTTTGACTTGGTAATAATCTCAGCAACTGTGTTTAAAATATTTTTCACGACTTTGACTTAGTAATCTTACTTTAAATGCTCATATTAAAGATGATTTACAGAAGTTGAACTTTAACCATTACTTTCCAAAGAAGCGGCCAACAAAAAATGCAACTGCTTAATTTCTAAAATCCGAGTTTTGCATCTCCTGTTTTAATAAAATTAAAATGTTATCTAATGAATTGAAGTAAACAAATTATAATTTACATCACTAAAACCCTAACAATTCTCTTATAATATCTTGATAAGAAACATGCTCTAACTCTAACATGATTTCATTTTTTTTTTCTAGATTTTCACCCTTAGGGCGTGTTTGGTTGAGAGTAATAGGAGATTACTGAGATAAGTCATCTTATATTACTTGATTACTATGTTTGGTTGTTAAATAATATAAGATTCCAGTAATTTTCCAAAACTAATAGGAGGCATTTGGATTGGGGGTATATAAGATAACGGGAGTAATCTTCGTTTAGTTTGCAAGATTCTTGTGTTTGATTTGCAAGTAAAAAAATATTACAATAATCTTTTATTGCAAATAGTGTTTACTGTTGATAATGTAGAGGGTAATCTTATTACCTTGTTAGGGGGTGTTATTAAAACATTACCAAGGTAATATGATTTTTCTATCCATTTTGCCCTTAATTAAAAACCATTTCAGACACAATTGCCTCAAATGTCTACCAAATAACAATTAGCGTAGGTCTCCTACATTTGAGAAATTAGCTAAAACACCTCAACCACAAAAAAGTTTAAAAGTTAACAAAATACCCCCAACCACCCAAGACCACCGCTGACCGTCGGCGTCAGTTGCTGCAATGGTGCACAACCGGCGTTATCTGGTCGGTTGTGCGCTGGTAAGGTCTTTTCTGACTATGGATCTGTGGAAACGACCAGATCTGACGTTTCTATAACCGTTTCACGACCAAAGATGTGGCCGTGAACGACCATAGATCAGGCCGTGAAACGAACACAGATCAGGACATGAAACGACCACAGATCAGATCGTGAAATGACCACAGATCTGACAATGAAATAGTCATAGATATGACCGTTTTCCGGTCATGGATTTGTGATCCATGGTCATTTTTTACTTTGTCGGCGCATGGCCGGCCATATGCGGCTAATTGTGTGCCATTTCGTCAACTGCTGGTGATGGTGGTTGGCTATCGGCAGTGGCTTGGGTGGTTAGTGAAAGAGAAGGGATGTGCCACGATTGGGTTTCACATATGCAGCTGGCTGGCGATTAGATAGTAGTGGTGTGACACTGCAACTCTTGGGCGACAACACGGCTAAAAAAGGCCGTTAGGACATTAATTGCTATTATAGAAAAAATAACTAATATATTTATTTCAAATCACCACAAGATGATTGAGTGATTAACTAGAACTTTAGAGTGTATTACTTAAGAGATCTTGAGTTCGATTTACTTCGACTCCTAATATGAGTGACCACTAAAGCTCTTATCCGACTGGCACTTCTAAGGTTTTAGAGGATTAATTGAAGTGTTTGCAAGCTAACCCAAACACTCCCAATTATCAAATATATATATATATATATATATATATTGAAAGCTCTTATTCTAGGCTTTTTGAGAATTATATGGGTTGTGCTAACTTTAGGGTAAAATAGTATTGCTGATTTGTGTTCAAATCATAAACTTCTCTGGGCCTTTTGTTTAATGTACGTGAGCTTCATTCATCTGTGGGCTGGGCTTTCTCAACAGGGTCTGCCCTCAGCTGGCATCAACTCTTTTATTTTCTTTTAACTTTTCCATGCTCTGCGTCTGTAACTAGAGGTGGAAAAACAATCCGTCCGACCCAACCCGTAACGGGTTACGCAAAGTGGTGGGTCGGTCCTGACCCACCCATCAACATTGACAGGTTGGGTTAGGCCCACCAATTATGGGGAATTTGCTGGCCCAACCCGGCCCATTTATTCCACCTCTATCTATCTTTTAACATGTTTTTCTCAATATTTTCATGTTGTGTATTTGGGGAAGTAAGTGAGATAAGATAACACAAAATAGGAAAACAGAAAATGACCTATCAATATTTTATATCAAACATTCAAGTTGGCACCGTTGGTAATCTGTCATATCACCTAAATTTGACAATCATGCATCAAAAAACATGTGAGTAGCCTGATTCTTTAATAAATATATATTATCACCTATTTATTTAACCACAAATAATATTATAATTATCCCCTTGTTATCTTAATTAGGCATATTAATATATAAGAGTCATTATATATAATATAAGATACCCGTATGTATCATATCTGGGAGATTGGGACCAATGATGGAATTCTCCAAAATAATGGACTTTAGAGGATCATGAAAGAAAGAATTGATGGTTAATTCGTAATTAAGTATTAGGATGATAGGTACTGAAGAGTTATAGCAGCTGGACAGAAAAAAAGATGAACTGATAGCATAAAGAAAAGTCTGGTCATTAATGGCTTTGCATTCGACTAGTCACAATTTTGAATGTCAGGAATAAGCCCCATCAGTGTGTCCCTTTCAATACAGTAGAATATTGTATGGTAAATTCTAGCCAAGCAATTAGACAAAAGGATCGCTCTGTTCAAATGTGACTGACTAGTAAATTCTTGTTCTGTAAATCTTGCATTATTCTATAAGAAGTACTGAGATCGAAACTAGAGTTTGTCAGAGGGAAAGTACAGTTGAGGGTTTGGATGAGGCCAAAAGCTTCATATTTTTCTTCATATCATTTCTAGCATTTTTAAGCGTTCTTAACGTTGGACTCTGTTTTGCTTTTGCACTAAAGTCTGATGAAATGTGCTTGCGAACAAGAAAACTTCACATAAATCATGCTACAAAAGCACTAAATTCTAGTCACCCAAATGCTTTTTACCATATATTCACATACACCTGAGCTCATGAATCACATCACATAAGCTTAAAATCAAAATATTAGTAGGCACACAAAAAGAACCATGGTACAAGACACTGGCATCTATAAGAAATGCCCCATTTGATTACAACTTAAACCGCATAGTGCTGTACAAAGTTTCATACTATACTTTGGTACAACCCCAAAAATTTTCCAGGCCCAAAACTGAGAAGCATATCATTTTTAAAAGGGCTTTCTCAATTCATTCACTGGTAGAGTATCTTGAAGTCCAGTACTTTTCAATTTCCTCGGCTGTTCTTCCAGGAATTCTTCCAGCAATCAGAGACCACCTGAAGGAATACAACTTAGTGTTAGTAAGCTCCTTGGTGTTTGATTTTTGCATAAAGAAAGAAGAAAATAATTTAACCCCACCTCTCACCAACCAGGTTGAACATCCTAGTTATAAGGGTTTCTTCATCCTCTGAGAATTCAAGCTTTGAGTCTTGACTGGATTGGTCTGCAACAAACACCCGATGAAAATACTAAGTTATTTAATATCATAGCAAAAGGATTCATTGGAATAACTTTCAAATAGAGTAACCTAAAACAAAAACTTTAATCCTAATAGAACCAAAAAAATATGTACAAAACTCCACAAACTTATCATAAGAAAAGAAATCAAAGTCAGCCATTAAGAACTTAAAACGAAGAAAACAAGTAAAGATAATGAAATTAAAAAAGAGGAATTTGAAAAGGGTACCTCTAGAATCCACAGAGGCATCATCAGAAGTCTGATCCAAGTCAGCCATCAAGAGTTGAAACAGCAAAGACCAAGAATTCAAGGATAAAAATAATTGCGTGCAGTGAAAGAGTAGTAAATAAAAAGGTTGAAGAAGTGGGAAGAAAGAAACGGTGTGAATGTGGAATTGAAAGGCAGTTAAGGTGTAGTATTAATAGGAGAGAAGAGAAAATAGTGTTGATGGATGGAGAAGAATGGGCGGTGTGACCGTGAAAGAGAAAGCTGAGAAGAATGGTAGTTGATGGACTAGGTTCTAGTCCAACTTTGATAGGTAGTTGAACACTTACCCGTTGGTTGGTATTGATATCTTTCCAGCAAGATTCTCTTCCGTACTTGTACTCATAACTTTATTTCAATCCCAATTAACTTATTTATGCAATCACTTATCATTGCTTTAAGTTTAACGGTTTTGATATCACTAGACAAGAATTCTTTAGTGTGAGTGTTATATACGAGAGTTTTGCCTTGAAACGAAATGTTTGGTAGGAGAATTATTACGAAAATTATCCGGGATGAATGTTAGCAGTAATTAAGAAAATGACAAAGGAGAAACAGACATACCATAAGACATTTATAATGATTCCTATAAAAATAATATACGAGACGACTACGCCTAGATCTACTCCATCTTTCTAGCTGTTCTTATCTGATTGTGAATAAGACAAATGTTTGAATCGCCGGACACTCACCAATCAGCAAGTAGAGAAGCCACCGCAGAGTTTATCTAGTATTTTTGGACTATATATTTGAACCCATTGTAAATTTTATACTGACAATGACAGAATACATTACATTATATAAATATCGTACTGTATATTGTGTAGTTAATTAAATTTTGACATTTAAAGTTTAAATACCAACATCACAATACGATTACTTCATCTCATAATGGACAAAATATGCTTGTAGAGTTGTTGTAGTTGTATTACAAGCCAAATTGTCTCTTCTGTATAAATACTTGTTTGGTGGGAATGGGATAAAATTAATTAACCTATTCCATATAATAAAATATTACCATTGAGAGTGGTTAGATAACTTTCACTGTAGATTGGAAGTTTGCAGATGAATGATAACATGAGGAGAAGCAATATGGGAATGACTGCTGCTGATCTTCGCATAAAGAAGATAATTATAATTTCATTGGATGAAAACGATAACCAAATCTCTACTTTTGACTTGGTAATAATCTCAGCAACTGTGTTTAAAATATTTTTCACGACTTTGACTTAGTAATCTTACTTTAAATGCTCATATTAAAGATGATTTACAGAAGTTGAACTTTAACCATTACTTTCCAAAGAAGCGGCCAACAAAAAATGCAACTGCTTAATTTCTAAAATCCGAGTTTTGCATCTCCTGTTTTAATAAAATTAAAATGTTATCTAATGAATTGAAGTAAACAAATTATAATTTACATCACTAAAACCCTAACAATTCTCTTATAATATCTTGATAAGAAACATGCTCTAACTCTAACATGATTTCATTTTTTTTTTCTAGATTTTCACCCTTAGGGCGTGTTTGGTTGAGAGTAATAGGAGATTACTGAGATAAGTCATCTTATATTACTTGATTACTATGTTTGGTTGTTAAATAATATAAGATTCCAGTAATTTTCCAAAACTAATAGGAGGCATTTGGATTGGGGGTATATAAGATAACGGGAGTAATCTTCGTTTAGTTTGCAAGATTCTTGTGTTTGATTTGCAAGTAAAAAAATATTACAATAATCTTTTATTGTAAATAGTGTTTATTGTTGATAATGTGGGGAGTAATCTTATTACCTTGTTAGGGGGTGTTATTAAAACATTACCAAGGTAATATGATTTTTCTATCCATTTTGCCCTTAATTAAAAACCATTTCAGACACAATTACCCTTAAATATTTACCAAATAACAATTAGCGTAGGTCTCCTACATTTGAGAAATTAGTTAAAACACCTCAGTCACAAAAAAATTTAAAAGTTAACAAAATACCCTCAACCACCCAAGACTACCACCGACCGTCAGCGTCAGTCGCTGTAATAGTGCACAACCGACGGGATCTGGTCAGTTGTGCGCTGGTAAGGCCTTTTCTGACCATGGATTTGTGGAAACGACCAGATCTGGTGTTTCTATGACCGTTTCACAGCCAAAGATGTGGCCGTGAACGGCCACAGATCGGGCCGTGAAACGAACACAGATCAGGCCATGAAACAACCACAGATCAGGCTGTGAAATGACCACAGATCTTGCAATGAAATAGTCATAGATATGGCCGTTTTCCGGCCATGGATTTGTGATCCATGGTCATTTTTTACTTTGTCGATGCATGACCGACCATATACGGCTAGTCGTGTGCCATTTCATCGACTGTCAGTGATGGTGGTTGGCTATCATCAGTGGCTTGGGTGGTTAGTGAAAGAGAAGGGATGTGCCACGATTGGGTTTCACTTATGCAGCTGGCTGGCGATTAGATAGTAGTGGTGTGACACTGCAACTCTTGGGCTACAACACGGCTAAAAAAGGCAGATAAATGGGGGGGCTGATGGGCTTCATTGATCGCTTGTTTGGTTGTGTGAGGAAGTTTTGATTGTTTGGTATAAACTCTGTTGATTTGTGTGAGAAATAGGCCAGGAATCTACGAAACGGACGATGATGACACCAACAATGGTGATGAGTTGAGAGAGGGTTTAAGGTGAGAAAAAATTGAAATCAAAGGTGAAAATCTGATTTAAGATACAAAACAATATCACTTTAAGAATGAAAATCTGAAATAAACGAAATCAGAGGTAAAACTTACCATTTTGCTAATGTTTAGGCGGAAACTTGTTTGCTTCCCATAAAAAAAAAAAAAAAATTCATTGAAGGCAAACATTAATTAAAATTATTAATATTGTGCTGAATGATCAAAATAGCTTTAAAATGGAATATAATAAGGTAATATTGAAGAAGTAGGTTTTCAATGTTTTTATTTTATTTTTTTATACTAATGTTGTGCCAAACTTAAACAATCCTAATTCACGCGCGAACGGTAATTTTAGGGCGAAGTCATCACATGAATACAACGCAGGTATACATAATTTTATTCTCAATAAACGTCTTGGAAGAAACCATAATCCTTCCCAAACAACAGAACTAGAAGCTTAGAAGGCCACACCCAATCAGCTGTTTCAAACTTTTTGACGGTGCACATACACAACAATATTTAATAACCCCAAGTAATATAAGTTCAAATCATATATTTCTTGCAACTCTGCATAAGCAAAGCCAACTACATATAGTAACTTCTTTCCTACTTAGAAGCCATGGATCTTGATGAAATCCTTCCTCACAATGCCAGCCTGTTTGGCCACAAGATAAAAATCATAATTACACAAAGCACAAACAAAGTTGTTTAACATAAATACCTTGTTAATGTATACATATAGCATTACCTGAACAAGGAAGGTTGACACATTCTTTCTTTGGTCACCCTGGAGTTGTATGACCTAAGAACGTATAAAAAATTCATTCAGGCTTATATTCTTATATACAAAACCTTTTCTCTCAAATAACAATCCCTATTCTAACTAGATATGGATTTCGAAAACATTTAATCAATGGTCTGTGACTGACCTGGCCTAACTCAGGGTCCTGAACAACAGTACCATTACAGCAGAACTCTTTCTTGAGGTCCTTGAGAATCTTGTTGTAGCTGTAGTCCTTCTTCAACCCTTGCACGGTTGTCAGGCTTTTCCTCCCATTACGTTGTTGAACACGAATATGGACGTAATCTTTTGCCCCAGCACCTGAGTCCTCAGCATTTGCCTCAGCGAAGGGATCTGCCCCACCATACAACAAACACAAATCAAGCAATCAAAAGACATATCTACTACTGTCATGGATACAAACATATACAATAGAATCAGCTTTAGCATAACTCACCAAAGGCACTTGGAATCTGGTTGTCAAATTCAGACATGAACCTTGGTTGTGGGGGGAAGAGTCAGTAACCGACAATTGATTCCCTTTAATCCAATTAAATTGACCTCAGCTGCAACCAAAGGCAGAAAGAACACGTCAGTCTGAATTTGGAAACAAAACAACAATAACCTCTCAACTAGATTAGCTAAAGAAAAACTTTCATCACTCCATATGAGCTAACAATTCCATTTTAACAATTTCTAGGACCAAATCCTATTGTAAAATTATTGGCTATACAATCTTACGGGCAACAACCATATCCTTTAGTACCTCTATTCTCTCATGGTCCTTGAGTTAAAAAAGGCTATCACCTTACTTCAATCATGGTAAATCCTATACTTCATTATTGCATGGACAAATGTCTTTTCATGACAGCCATCAACTACCTCAGCTAAGATAACTTTGTAACTTGAACCGTGATTGTTTGTATATACAGAGCACATACAAAGAGGCACTAATTATGATTCATACTTTCTTGGACCAACTTTTTCAATGCCTTTTAAATCCATATTATTCACTCCATGTTTTTGACTTAAGAAAATTATCCTAACATCACTATCCTGAAGCCAAAAACACAATCCTTCCTGTGAAATGCATTTATATAACTAGTATATCAATTCTAGACATCAAAATTGTTCAGGAAAAATAATACACATATTCAAAACTAACAAATAGTTCATTTATCATCCGAATGACAATCATATGCACTATTGAAGTAGAGCATAAGTCAACATCACCAACGATTTCCCATAAATTACAAAAGATTGGTACTAAACCCTATAATTGACAAATCGCCAAGATTCAGCTTAACAAAGTGCTCAATAAATTGAACAAATAAACAACAACCACAAATTAGAATTTCCCCCGAAAATAATAAATAAAATGGCAAACCTAATATTTTCAGAATCCCCATAATAATCCATGAATCAAAGTAGCATAAACCTAAATTTTCTCAGATTAAAAAATTAGATGAACCCACTAATCAAACACTCGTACAAAACAATAACAGATGCAGGGAATACAATAAATATAAAATATCCTAAACCCAAAAGATGAAATAACAAACGGAAAAACTAATAGCAGGGCAATCATGAAATTGATTTCAATTAGAACAAAAACAACACATTAAACAAAGGTAAACAAAGACGAAAGAAACAAACGGATAAGAACATAATCAATCAATGGACAAGAATGCGAAACCCAGAAGAAGATTAACTTACAGAAAGATGTAAATGCGGAGAATCTTATAGAAAAAGTGTAAGGATTGGATTGTGTTTGGGCTGAGGTAGGGGTGTTATATAAATAAAGAGGGCTCCTCGTGACCACACAACCGCACTTTTTTATTAGACACTTTGCTTTTTAACCGTACGTATCTTAGTCGGTTCTGTTTTGTGTGTTTCTACGGTTGAGATTATAAGATGTTTACAACGATGAAGGGCTATGATTTTATTACACGTCCCAAAGTTCGAAGATAAAAGTGGACAATACATGGAGGATTCTGTGCGTCCTACGCACGCTGCCATTGAAAAAGGAAATTCCATTTTTGCCTTTAAATAAAGGGTGATGAAAATGATAATATATTCGATTGTGATTAAGGTACAAACGGGTGTCGTGACGATTTTAAAAACTCGGCCCAAATTTTAAATTTTAAATTTTAAATTATAATAATATTTTATAGTTATTTGTATAAATATGAAAAAAAAACCATCTAAAAATTAATAAAAGACATAATAAAGTGGAATAAAAATATATGATATAACTTCATGTAAACTATTTTAAAAATTATCTGAAAATTAATAATAGAAAAGACACTTGTGTAAATAACGATGGAACGTTGGTTCTATATTGTTAAAGTCACCAACGACATCTCTTGAAGAAGGAATCAAAGAATAAGATGGGGGGTAAAATGGTGATAGTAAGTATGTTCAATCCATTCTTATAGTTGTAAGCCCTAGAGGGATCGTATGGTTTTGTTCCTAGACTTCAAGTCCGAAACGCGTTTGCTTAGTGTAGGCAAATTAGCTCCACTTAAACACTCAACAATCCTCCACATATAAGTGATGTGGGACTTGTTGCAACAGTGTTATAGGCTTTTCCTCAAGTGTGAGATTATTAGAATTTAATAAAATATTGTTGGTACCCATTAATTGTTGGAATTATTGAGTCAAATTCAAATCAAATTAGTATTGCATTGGGATATGAGTTTTCCTACTATATTTTTATGTAGAATTACATCATATACATTATATTAGGAATTAATATAAAAATCCTATTAGGATAGGAGATATAAATCCTATTAGGAATAGTTCTTAGGTATTACTTATAAAAGGTATTAAATCATAGAGATTGGTAATAGGCAATGACACAATTAAAGTGTAAGAGCCACCAAAGACAGGCTTAGAGAAAAAACAAATTTGTGAAACTTGAACGATTCTTACAATATTTTATCGACAAAGTAGATGTAACTATCATACATAAAGTGAATCATTATAAATTATCGTGTCTGTGTGTGATTTTATAAATTGTCGTTTCATAACATCTATTACCAAAATCATTATAACAATATTAGATGATAGTAAGATTTAAAATTAACATAAATATTATATTAAAAACTTCATAATATGTTTATTTAATAAAAAAAAGTATAGATGTTTCCTAATTCCTACGTTGAGAAAGGATTCTCAAATCACAATGGAGTTGATGCAGTGTTAAGAAGCCTACCCAGCCTGATTTGAATTTCCGTTTTAGTTTTTTAAGTTTAGTCTTACACATGGCCCAATTTCATATTATTTTCTAACCTCTTTTTATTTGATGACTAAGATAGTAGTTTTCTTCATCATTGATATTGATGGGAGAGAAATATCTATCAATTGGAGTTGAAAAAAAAATTGATGTAGAAGAAATAAAAAATTAAAGAAAGAGAATTGGAATATGGAAATTAGAAAATTGAAATATGAATTGAAAATTGCAAAACTAATAAAAATTAAAATAGAGCAAATTGATAACAAAGAGATTAAGAGAATAAATAATAATTGAGAGATTAGAGATTAGAGAAAATGAAAGAATGAGAGAATTTGAGTTGTGAGAAAAGATGAGAGTTTGGACTAATTTATAGAAAAAAATGGGAAAAGAATGATAAAAGATCTCTCTAACGGCTATATTTCAAGGGTAAAAGGGTAATTGGAAAAAACAAAATTTTTTTTTTAATTTGTTTTTCGGCCAACCTGCGGGTCAACCCGACGGGTTGGCGGTCCTTTATCTAGAAAGGACAAACAGCAACCCGCGGTCGTCGGGTTGCCATTTCTCAACCTGGCCGCCCGGGGTTGCTGGCGGGTAGGTTCAACCAGCCCGCCTTATGGCGGTCCGGTTGAACCCTTGAATGCAGGTCGGATTTCAATTGACCTGCCTAACCCAATCCATTTGTTCCACCTCTATCTGTAACATGTTTTTCTCAATATTTTCATGTTGTGTATTTGGGGAGTAAGTGAGATAAGATAACACAAAATAGGAAAACAGAAAATGACCTATCAATATTTATATCAAACATTCAAGTTGGCACGGTTGGTAATCTGTCATATCACCTAAATTTGACAATCATGCATCAAAAAACATGTGAGTAGCCTGATCTTTAATAATATATATTACACTATTTATTTAACCACAAATAATATTATAATTATCCCCTTGTTATCTTAATTAGGCATATTAAAAATAAGAGTCATTATATATAATATAAGATACCCGTATGTATCATATCTGGGAGATTGGAACCAATGATGAAATTCTCCAAAATAATGGACTTTAGAGGAACATGAAAGAAAGAATTGATGTTAATTCGTAATTAAGTATTAGGATGATGTACCGAAGAGTTATAGCAGCTGGACAGAAAAAAAGATGAACTGATAGCATAAGAAAAGTCTGGTCATTAATGGCTTTGCATTCGACTAGTCACAATTTTGAATGTCAGGAATAAGCCCCATCAGTGTGTCCCTTTCAATACAGCAGAACATTGTATGGTAAATTCTAGCCAAGCAATTAGACAAAAGGATCGCTCTGTTCAAATGTGATGACTAGTAAATTCTTGTTCTGTAAATCTTGCATTATTCTATAAGAAGTACTGAGATCGAAACTAGAGTTTGTCAGAGGGAAAGTACAGTTGAGGGTTGAATAAGGCCAAAAGCTTCATAATTTTCTTCATATCATTTCTAGCATTTTTAAGCATTCTTAACGTTGACTCTGTTTTGCTTTTGCACTAAAGTCTGATGAAATGTGCTTGCGAACAAGAAAACTTCACATAATCATGCTACAAAGCACTAAATTCTAGTCACCCAAATGCTTTTTACCATATATTCACATACCTGAGCTCATGAATCACATCACATAAGCTTAAAATCAAAATATTAGTAGGCACACAAAAAGAACCATGGTACAAGACACTGGCATCTATAAGAAATGCCCATTTGATTACAACTTAAACCGCATAGTGCTGTACAAAGTTCCATACTATACTTTGCTACAACCCCAAAAATTTTCCAGGCCCAAACGAGAAGCATATCATTTTTAAAAGGCTTTCTCAATTCATTCACTGGTAGATATCTTGAAGTCCAGTACTTTTCAATTTCCTCGGCTGTTCTTCCAGGAATTCTTCCAGCAATCAGAGACCACCTGAAGGAATACAACTTAGTGTTAGTAAGCTCCTTGGTGTTTGATTTTTGCATAAAGAAAGAAGAAATAATTTAACCCCACCTCTCACCAACCAGGTTGAACATCCTTATAAGGGTTCTTCATCCTCTGAGAATTCAAGCTTTGAGTCTTGATGGATTGGTCTGCAACAAACCCCCGATGAAAATACTAAGTTATTTAATATCATAGCAAAAGGATTCATTGGAATAACTTTCAAATGAGTAACCTAAAACAAAAACTTAATCCTATAGAACCAAAAAAATATGTACAAAACTCCACAAACTATCATAGAAAAGAATCAAAGTCAGCCATTAAGAACTTAAAACGAAGAAAAAAATAAAGATAATGAAATTAAAAAAGAGGAATTTGAAAGGGTACCTCTAGAATCCACAGAGGCATCATCAGAAGTCTGACCAAGTCAGCCATCAAGAGTTGAAACAGCAAAGACCAAGAATTCAAGGAATAAATAATTGCGTGCAGTGAAAGAGTAGTAAATAAAAGGTGAAGAAGTGGGAAGAAGAAAAGGTGTGAATGTGGAATTGAAAGGCAGTTAAGTGTAGTATTAATAGGAGAGAAGAGAAAATAGTGTTGATGGATGGAGAAGAATGGGCGGTGTGACCGTGAAAGAGAAAGCTGAGAAGAATGGTAGTTGATGGACTAGGTTCTAGTCCAACTTGATAGGTAGTTGAACACTTACCCGTTGGTTGGTATTGATATCTTTCCATCAAGATTCTCTTCCCTACATCTACTCATAACTTTATTCAATCCCAATTAACTTATTTATGCAATCACTTATCATTGCTTTAAGATTAACGGTTTTGATTCACTAGACAAATTCTTTAGTGTTGAGTGTTATATACGAGAGTTTTGCCTTGAAACGAAATGTTTGGTAGGAGAATTATTTAAGTAAATTATTCGGGATGAATGTTGCAGTAATTAAAAATGACAAAGGAGAAACAGACATACCATAAGACATTATAATGATCCTATAAAATAATATACGAGACGACTACGCCTAGATCTACTCCATCTTCTAGCTGTTCTTATTGATTGTGAATAAGACAAATTTTGAGTCGCCGGACGCTCACCAATCAGCAAGTAGAGAAGCCACCGCAGAGTTTTATCTAGTATTTTTGGACTATATTTGAACCCATTGTAAATTTTATACTGACAATGACAGATCATTACATTATATAATATCGTACTGTATATTGTGTAGTTAATTAAATTTTGACATTTAAAGTTTAAATACCAACATCACAATACGATTACTTCATCTCAAAGGACAAAATAGCTTGTAGAGTTGTTGTAGTTGTATTACAAGCCAAATTGTCTCTTCTGTATAATACTTGTTTGGTGGGATGGGATAAAATTAATTAACCTATCCATATATAAAATATTACCATTGAGATGGTTAGATAACTTTCACTGTAGATTGGAGTTTGCAGATGAATGATAACATGAGGAGAAGCAATATGGAATGACTGCTGCTGATCTTCGCAAAGAAGATAATTATAATTTCTTGGATGAAAACGATAACCAGTCTCTTACTTTTGACTTGGTAATAATCTCACCAACTGTGTTTAAATATTTTCAGGTAAACGACATGTTCCCACCCAAGGTTTGCCAACCCCAAGTCAGTACCACTGTTTATTTATTCTAGATTCCCACCCTTAAAGTGACGAAAAAACGTTTGATTTAACGTAAAGAGTAAATTGGTCATTTTACATGGGCAGCGCACGTTAGCAAACCACTGCCTCTAACAGTTCTCCGCGCGCACGTAGCAGCCGTCGCTCCTGACGTTTTTCACTCTTTTCCGGCGATTCTTCCACCTAAAATCACCCTTGTCACCACCATTTGAACCCCATCCTCCCCTCTACAAACTATACCATTCACAACCCCTCATCACTCGCCGATCTCCGCCACGGCAACGAAAAACGGCCGATGAACACGCACTCCTGGCCGGCGAATGACACGAAAACCTTGCTGGGGACATAGGGGTTCATAGATTGTGGGACGTGGTTGCATTGGTGGTGTCCAATTGGATTTTCACCATCGGAATCGACCGGATCGGTGAAAACACCGAAACCCTAAGCCAACGGTTGCCGCGCGATTGGAGGGCAAATGAGTCGGGAACCAGAGGGGTTTTGGACGACGGACTACAGGGAAGTGATGGAGGTGACCAGGGGTTCGACGTCGTCGGAAACAGCCCATCGGGCTTTTCCGGTGGGTGTATAGTGACCGAGGGTGTTTTGATATAATTTGAAATAAAATGGTAAGTTTTATTCTACTAATTTAGGGGTTAAACATAATTTATTAATTAGGGTTAGCATTATGGTAATTGCACCCTCTAACCCTAAAAATCATAATACTGTTCTTTAAGGGAATCTAGAATAAATGAAACCATGTCTAACTTGGGATTTCGTCAAACCTTGGTGGAATATGTGTTTACTCTATTTTACGACTTTGACTAAGTATCTTCTTAAATGCTTATATTAATGTATTACAGAATTGAACTTTACCTATACTATCGCAGTAAAGGAAGATACTTGGTGACTTTAAAACAAAAAGGGCAACAACTCAATGCTAATTTCTAAAATCCGAGTTTTGCATCTCCTGTTTTAATAAAATTAAAATGTTATCTAATGAATGAAGTAAACAAATTATAATTTACATCACTAAAACCCTAACAATTCTCTTATAATATCTTGATAAGAAACATGCTCTAACTCTAACATGATTTCATTTTTTTTTCTAGATTTTCACCTTAGGGCGTGTTTGGTTGAGAGTAATAGGAGATTCTGAGATAAGTCATCTTATATTACTTGATTACTATGTTTGGTTGTTAATAATATAAGATTCCAGTAATTTTCCAAACTAATAGGAGGCATTTGGATTGGGGGTTATAAGATAACGGGAGTAACCTTCGTTTATTTGCAAATTCTTGTGTTGATTTGCAAGTAAAAAAATATTACAATAATCTTTTATGCAAATAGTGTTTACGGTTGATAATGTAGAGGGTAATCTTATTACCTTGTTAGGGGGTGTTTAAAACATTACCAAGGTAATATGATTTTCTATCCATTTTGCCCTTAATTAAAAACCATTTCAACACAATTGCCTCAAATGTCTACCAAATAACAATTAGCGTAGGTCTCCTACATTTGAGAAATTAGCTAAAACACCTCAACCCAAAAAGTTAAAGTTAAACATACAAACCCAACCACCCAGACCACCGCTGACCGTCGGCTCAGTTGCTGCAATGGTGCACAACCGCGTTATCTGGTCGGTTGTGCGCTGGTAAGGTCTTTTCTGACTATGGATCTGTGGAAACGACCAGATCTGACGTTTCTATAACCGTTTCACGACCAAAGATGTGGCCGGTAACGACCATAGATCAGGCCGTGAACGAACACAGATCAGGACATGAAACGACCACAGATCAGATCGTGAAATGACCACAGATCTGACAATGAAATAGTCATATAGATGACCGTTTTCCGGTCATGGATTTGTGATCCATGGTCATTTTTTACTTTGTCGGCGCATGGCCGGCCATATGCGGCTTTGTGTGCCATTCGTCAACTGCTGGTGATGGTGGTGGGCTATCGGCAGTGGCTTGGGTGGTTAGTGAAAGAGAAGGGTGTGCCACGATTGGGTTTCACATTGCAGCTGGCTGGCGATTAGATAGTAGTGGTGTGACACTGCAACTCTTGGCGACAACACGGCTAAAAAGGCAGATAAATGGGGGGGGGGGGGGGGGAGAGGAAGTTTGATTGTTTGGTATAAACTGTGTGATTTGTGTGAAAAGTACGCCAGGAATCTACGAAACGGACGATGATGACACCACAATGGTGATGAGTTGAGAGAGGGTTTAAGGTGAGAAAAAATTGAAATCAAAGGTGAAAATCTGATTTAAGATACAAAACAATATAACTTTAAGATGAAAATCTGAAATAAACGAAATCAGAGGTAAAACTTACCATTTTGCTAATGTTTAGGCGGAAACTTGTTTGCTTCCCATAAAAAAAAAAAAAAATTCATTGAAGGCAAACATTAATTAAATTATTAATAGGTGCTGAATGATCAAAATAACTTTAAAAGGAATATAATAAGGTAATATTGAAGAAGTGGGTTTCAATGTTTTTATTTTATTTTTTTATACAATGTTGTGCCAAACTTAAACAATCCTAATTCACGCGCAAACGGTAATTTTAGGGCGAAGTCATCACATGAATACAACGCAGTATACATAATTTTATTCTCAATAAACGTCTTGGAAGAAACCATAACCTTCCCAAACAACAGAACTAGAAGCTTAAAAGACCACACCCAATCAGCTGTTTCAAACTTTTTGACGGTGCACATACACAACAATATTTATAACCCCAAGTAATATAAGTTCAAATCATATTTTCTTGCAACTATGCATAAGCAAAGCCAACTACATATAGTACTCTTTCCTACTTAGAAGCCATGGATCTTGATGAATCCTTCCTCACAATGCCAGCCTGTTGGCCACAAAAAAAATCATAAACACAAAGCACAAACAAAGTTGTTTAACATAAATACCTTGTTAATGTATACATATAGCATTACCTGACAAGGAAGGTTGACACATTCTTTCTTGTCACCCTGGAGTTGTATGAACCTAAGAACTATAAAAATTATTCAGGCTTATATTCTTATATACAAAACCTTTTCTCTCAAATAACAATCCCTATCTAACTAGATATGGATTTCGAAAACATTTAATCAATGGTCTGTGACTGACCTGGCCTAACTCAGGGTCCTGAACAACAGTACCATTACAGCAGAACTCTTTCTTGAGGTCCTTGAGAATCTTGTTGTAGCTGTAGTCCTTCTTCAACCCTGCACGGTTGTCAGGCTTTTCCTCCTTACGTTGTTGAACACGAATATGGACGTAATCTTTTGCCCCAGCACCTGAGTCCTCAGCATTTGCCTCAGCGAAGGGATCTGCCCCACCATACAACAAACACAAATCAAGCAATCAAAAGCATATCTACTACTGTCATGGATACAAACATATACAACAGAATCAGCTTTAGCATAACTCACCAAAGGCACTTGGAATCTGGTTCAAATTCAGACATGAACCTTGGTTGTGAGGGGAAGAGTCAGTAACCGACAATTGATTCCCTTAATCCAATTAATTGACTCAGCTGCAACCAAAGGCAGAAAGAACACGTCAGTCTGAATTTGGAAACAAAACACAATAACCTCTCAACTAGATTAGCTAAGAAAAACTTCCATCACTCCATATGAGCTAACAATTCCATTTTAACAATTTCTAGGACCAAATCCTATTGTAAAATTATTGGCTATACAATCTTACGCAACAACCATATCCTTTAGTACCTCTATTCTCTCATGTCCTTGAGTTAAAAAAGTCGTATCACTTTAAAATTTCATTGTTTTTGTTTTTTGTAGATAACTCTAAAATTTTTATAATTGTATGTATTACCAATGGACTAGTAGGATAATACACACCAGAAAGTTATAAAGTGGATTGGTAAAAAAATTTAAGAAAAGAATGAAATACTTTAGCTATTTGCCAATCATTTTCTACCAAATAATGAGGACCTCTATTATTTGCTACAAAATAACTAATTAAATTAGCATAAGGTAAACATGAATCAAGCATTAAATAAATACTATTCCATCTAATATGCATGTCTAATGTAAATGTTCTAGGAGACATGCCTGATTTTATATAAGTATCTTGAAATTTAACATTTCTTTTATTACTACTTGTAATCCAAGCTAAACAATCTCTAATTCTATCAATATTTTCTTTAATTGTTTTCATACCACTTTTCACAATTAAATTAATAACATGACATGCACAAAGTTGGTGAAAAAACTTCAAATTATTTTATAAAAGATAATTACTTTGAAAATAATCTATAGCTTTACTATTAGAACTTGCATTATCTAAAGTTAAACTTATCACTTTACTAACAATATCATAATCTTCTAAAACTTCAACAATTTTATTATAAATCTGTTCACCACTATGATCAACATCCATTAATCTAAATCCTGATAAAGATTTATTTAATTTATATTCATTATCAAAATAATGACTAGTCACACAAATATAATCTTGATTAACTCTACCACTCCAAATATCGACAGTTAGAGTCACACTAACATGACAAGTATGTATTTTATTTTTTAGTTCTAATTTCATTTTCTTAAATAATTTTATTAAATCATTTCTAGTTGCAATTTTAGAATAACTTTTAAATCCTGGAAAAAATGAAGTTTGAACAAATCTTTCAAAATATTTATCTTCAGCCATATTAATAGGTTGATCAGTTGCAGTAATATATAAAGCTAATAGTTCCCTATATACATCAGAATTATAACGCCAAGTAGTACCCATATTAGTTATTTGAGTTTAATTGCCTTCTCTATTTCCATGTTGATTAATATGTTTATTAGCATGCCTTTTTAAAGTACTAGTATCATTACCTGAATCAGTTTTATAAATATTTCCACAGTATTTGCATCTCGTTTTTTTGACTTGAATGCCATTTTCTGTCTCGTAAAACTTGTCGAAATGCGCCCAAACGTCTGATGTGTGTCTGTCTTCGGTTTCGACGGCAGTTGATGAACCCGCCTCAGCTTCAGATGAAGTTGGACGAGGACAACGATTACGAGGACAACTTCTAGAACCACCGGGAGCTGTATGGGGAGGAATCAGGGGCATATTTTGAGGTGTATCGGATTTTGAGACTGGGAAAGTTGCGGGACTATTTGAATCTCCTGCATTTATGTTAATAAAATCGGCGGAACTAGTCTAAGATAAGTAGTTTTTTCTTCATCATTGATATTGATGGAGAGAAATATCTATCAATTGTAGTTGAAAAAAAAATTGATGTAGAAGAAATAAAAAATTAAAGAAAGAGAATTGGAATATGGAAATTAGAAAATTGGAAATATGAATTGAAAATTGCAAAACTAATAAAAATTAAAATAAGAGCAAATTGATAACAAAGAGATTAAGAGAATAAATGAATAATGAGAGATTAGAGATTAGAGAAATGAAAGAATGAGAGAATTTGAGTTGTGAGAAAAGATGAGAGTTTAGGACTAATTTATAGAAAAAAATGGGAAAAGAAAATGATGAAAAAGATCTCTCTAACGGCTATATTTCAAGGTAAAGGGTAATTGAAAAAACAAAATTTTTTTTTTTTATTTGTTTTTCGGCCAACCTGCGGGTCCACCGACGGGTTGCGGTCCTTTATCTAGAAAGGACAAACAGCAACCCGCGGGTCTCGTTGCCATTTCTCAACCTGGCCTGCCCGGGGGTTGCTGGCGGGGTAGGTTCAACCAGCCCGCCTTTGGCGGTCCAGGTTGAACCCTCTTGAATGCAGGTCGGATTTCAATTGACCTGCCTAACCCAATCCATTTGTTCCACCTCTATCTGTAACTGTTTTTCTCAATATTTTCATGTTTGTATTTGGGGAAGTAAGTGAGATAAGATAACACAAAATAGGAAAACAGAAAATGACCTATCAATATTTTATATCAAACATTCAAGTTGGCACGGTTGGTAATCTGTCATATCACCTAAATTTGACAATCATGCATCAAAAAACATGTGAGTAGCCTGATCTTTAATAAATATATATTATCACCTATTTTTAACCACAAATAATATTATAATTATCCCCTTGTTATCTTAATTAGGCATATTATAATAAGAGTCATTATATATAATATAAGATACCCGTATGTATCATATCTGGGAGATTGGAACCAATGATGAAATTCTCCAAATAATGGCTTTAGAGGAACATGAAAGAAAGAATTGATGGTTATTCGTAATTAAGTATTAGGATGATAGGTACGAAGAGTTATAGCAGCTGGACAGAAAAAAAGATGAACTGATAGCATAAGAAAAGTCTGGTCATTAATGGCTTTGCATTCGACTAGTCACAATTTTGAATGTCAGGAATAAGCCCCATCAGTGTGTCCCTTTCAATACAGCAGAACATTGTATGGTAAATTCTAGCCAAGCAATTAGACAAAAGGATCGCTCTGTTCAAATGTGACTGACTAGTAAATTCTTGTTCTGTAAATCTTGCATTATTCTATAAGAAGTACTGAGATCGAAACTAGAGTTTGTCAGAGGGAAAGTACAGTTGAGGGTTTGAATAAGGCCAAAAGCTTCATAATTTTCTTCATATCATTTCTAGCATTTTTAAGCATTCTTAACGTGGACTCTGTTTTGCTTTTGCACTAAAGTCTGATGAAATGTGCTTGCGAACAAGAAAACTTCACATAAACATGCTACAAAGCACTAAATTCTAGTCACCCAAATGCTTTTTACCAATATTCACATACACCTGACTCATGAATCACATCACATAAGCTTAAAATCAAAATATTAGTAGGCACACAAAAAGAACCATGGTACAGACACTGGCATCTATAAGAAATGCCCATTGATTACAACTTAAACCGCATAGTGCTGTACAAAGTTCCACTAACTTTCTACAACCCCAAAAATTTTCCAGGCCCAAAACTGAGAAGCATATCATTTTTAAAAGGGCTTTCTCAATTCATTCACTGGTAGAGTATCTTGAAGTCCAGTACTTTTCAATTTCCTCGGCTGTTCTCTCCAGGAATTCTTCCAGCAATCAGAGACCACCTGAAGGAATACAACTTAGTGTTAGTAAGCTCCTTGGTGTTTGATTTTTGCATAAAGAAGAAGAAATAATTTAACCCCACCTCTCACCAACCAGGTTGAACATCCTAGTTATAAGGGTTTCTTCATCCTCTGAGAATTCAAGCTTTGAGTCTTGACTGGATTGGTCTGCAACAAACACCCGATGAAAATACTAAGTTATTTAATATCATAGCAAAAGGATTCATTGGAATACTTTCAAATAGAGTAACCTAAAACAAAAACTTTAATCCTAATAGAACCAAAAAAATATGTACAAAACTCCACAACTTATCATAAGAAAGAAATCAAAGTCAGCCATTAAGAACTTAAAACGAAGAAAACAAGTAAAGATAATGAAATTAAAAAAGAGGAATTTGAAAAGGGTACCTCTAGAATCCACAGAGGCATCATCAGAAGTCTGATCCAAGTCAGCCATCAAGAGTTGAAACAGCAAAGACCAGAATTCAAGGATAAAAATAATTGCGTGCAGTGAAAGAGTAGTAAATAAAAGGTTGAAGAAGTGGGAAGAAAGAAACGGTGTGAATGTGAATGAAAGGCAGTTGTAAGGTGTAGTATTAATAGGAGAGAAAAATAGTGTTGATGGATGGAGAAGAATGGGCGGTGTGACCGTGAAAGAGAAGCTGAGAGAATGGTAGTTGATGGACTAGGTTCTAGTCCAACTTTGATAGGTAGTTGAACACTTACCCGTTGGTTGGTATTGATATCTTTCCATCAAGATTCTCTTCCCTACATCTACTCATAACTTTATTTCAATCCCAATTAACTTATTTATGCAATCACTTATCATTGCTTTAAGATTAACGGTTTTGATATCACTAACAAGAATTCTTTAGTGTGAGTGTTATATACGAGAGTTTTGCCTTGAAACGAAATGTTTGGTAGGAGAATTATTTAAGTAAATTATTCGGGATGAATGTTAGCAGTAATTAAGAAAATGACAAAGGAGAAACAGACATACCATAAGACATTTATAATGATTCCTATAAAATAATATACGAGACGACTACGCCTAGATCTACTCCATCTTTCTAGCTGTTCTTATCTATTGTGAATAAGACAAATGTTTGAGTCGCCGACGCTCACAATCAGCAAGTAGAGAAGCCACCGCAGAGTTATCTAGTATTTTTGGACATATATTTGAACCCATTGTAATTTTATACTGACAATGACAGAATACTTACATTATATAAATACGTACTGTATATTGTGTAGTTATTAAATTTTGACATTTAAAGTTTAAATACCAACATCACAATCGATTACTTCATCTCATAATGGACAAATATGCTTGTAGAGTTGTTGTAGTTGTATTACAAGCCAAATTGTCTCTTCTGTATAAATACTGTTTGGTGGGAATGGGATAAAATTAATTACCTATTCCATATAATAAAATATTACCATTGAGAGTGGTTATAACTTTCACTGTAGATTGGAGTTTGCAGATGAATGATAACATGAGGAGAAGCAATATGGGAATGACTGCTGCTGATCTCGCATAAGAATAATTATAATTTCATTGGATGAAAACGATAACCAGTCTCTTACTTTTGACTTGTTAATATCTCACCAACTGTGTTAAAAATTTTTCAGAGTAAACGACATGTTCCCCACCAAGGTTTGCCGAAACCCCAGTCAGTACCACGGTTTCATTTATTCTAGATTCCCACCCTTAAAGTGACGAAAAAACGTTTGATGTAACGGTAAAGAGGTAAATTGGTCATTTACATGGGCAGCGCACGTTAGCAAACCACTGCCTCTAACAGTTCTCCGCGCACGTTAGCAGCCGTCGCTCCTGACGTTTTTCACTCTTTTCCGGCGATTCTTCCACCTAAATCACCCTTGTCACCACCATTTGAACCCCCATCCTCCCCTCTACAAAACTATACCATTCACAACCCCCTCATCACTCGCCGACTCCGGCACGGCAACGAAAAACGGCCGATGAACACGCACTCTTGGCCGCAATGACGACGAAACGCTTGCTGGGGACATAGGGGTTCTATAGATTGGGGACAGTGGTTGCATTGGTGGTGTCCAATTGGATTTCACCATCGGAATCGACCGGAATCCGGTGAAGAACACCGAAACCCTAAGCCTAACGGTGCCGCGATTGGAGGGGCAAATGAGTCGGGAACCAGAGGGGTTTTGGACGACGGACTACAGGGAAGTGATGGAGGTGACCAGGGGGTTCGACGTCGTCGGAAACAGCCCAATCGGGCTTTTTCCGGTGAGGGTGTATAGTGACCGAGGTGTTTTTGATATAATTTGAAAATAAAATGGTAAGTTTTGTAATTCACAATTTGGGGTTAAACATAATTATTAATTTAGGGTTAAGGGCATTATGGTAATTGCACCCTCTAACCCTAAAAATTCATAATACTGTTACTTTAAAGGTGGGAATCTAGAATAAATGAAACCAGTGATACTACTTGGGATTTCGTCAAACCTTGGGTGGGAATATGTGTTTACTCTATTTTTCACGACTTTGACTAAGTAATCTTACTTTAAATGCTTATATTAAAGATGATTTACAGAAGTTGAACTTTAACCATTACTTTCCAAAGAAGCGGCCAACAAACAATGCACTGCTTAATTTCTAAAATCCGAGTTTTGCATCTCCTGTTTTAATAAAATTAAAATGTTATCTAATGAATTGAAGTAACAAATTATAATTTACATCACTAAAACCCTAACAATTCTCTTATAATATCTTGATAAGAAACATGCTCTAATCTAACATGATTTCATTTTTTTTTCTAGATTTTCACCCTTAGGGCGTGTTTGTTGAGAGTAATAGGAGATTCTGAGATAATCATCTATATTACTTGATTACTATGTTTGGTTGTTAATAATATAAGATTCCAGTAATTTTCCAAAACTAATAGGAGGCATTTGGATTGGGGGTATATAAGATAACGGGAGTAATCTTCGTTTAGTTTGCAAGATTCTGTGTTTTTTGCAAGTAAAAAATATTACAATAACTTTTATTGCAAATAGTGTTTACTGTTGATAATGTAGAGGGTAATCTTATTACCTTGTTAGGGGGTGTTATTAAAACATTACCAGGTAATATGATTTTTCTATCCTTTTGCCCTTAATTAAAAACCATTTCAGCCACATTGCCTCAAATGTCTACCAAATAACAATTAGCGTAGGTCTCCTACATTGAGAAATTAGCTAAAACACCTCAACCACAAAAAGTTTAAAAGTTAACAAAATACCCCCAACCACCCAGACCACCGCTGACCGTCGGCGTCAGTTGCGGCAATGGTGCACAACCGCGTTATCTGGTCGGTTGTGCGCTGGTAAGGTCTTTTCTGACTATGGACTGTGGAAACGACCAGATCTGACGTTTCTATAACCGTTTCACGCCAAGATGTGGCCGTGAACGACCATAGATCAGGCCGTGAAACGAACACAGATCAGACATGAAACGACCACAGATCAGATCGTGAAATGACCACGATCTGACAATGAAATAGTCATAGATATGACCGTTTTCCGTCATGGATTTGTGATCCATGGTCATTTTTTACTTTGTCGGCGCATGGCCGGCCATATGCGGCTAATTGTGTGCCATTTCGTCAACTGCTGGTGATGGTGGTTGGCTATCGGCAGTGGCTTGGTGGTTAGTGAAAGAGAAGGGATGTGCCACGATTGGGTTTCACATATCAGCTGGCTGGCGATTAGATAGTAGTGGTGTGCCACTGCAACTCTTGGGCGACAACACGGCTAAAAAAGGCAGATAAATGGGGGGGGGGGGGGGGGGGGAGAGGAAGTTTGATTGTTTGGTATAAACTGTGTTGATTTGTGTGAAAAGTACGCCAGGAATCTACGAAACGGACGATGATGACACCAACAATGGTGATGAGTTGAGAGAGGGTTTAAGGTGAGAAAAATTGAAATCAAAGGTGAAAATCTGATTTAAGATACAAAACAATATCACTTTAAGAATGAAATCTGAAATACGAAATCAGAGGTAAAACTTACCATTTTGCTAATGTTTAGGCGGAAACTTGTTTGCTTCCCATAAAAAAAAAAAAAAAAATTCATTGAAGGCAAACATTAATTAAAATTATTAATATTGTGCTGAATGATCAAAATAACTTTAAAATGGAATATAATAAGGTAATATTGAAGAAGTGGGTTTCAATGTTTTTTATTTTTATTTTTATACTAAGTTGTGCCAAACTTAAACAATCCTAATTCACGCGCAAACGGTAATTTAGGGCGAAGTCATCACATGAATACAACGCAGTATACATAATTTTATTCTCAATAAACGTCTTGGAAGAAACCATAATCCTCCCAAACAACAGAACTAGAAGCTTAAAAGACCACACCCAATCAGCTGTTTCAAACTTTTTGACGGTGCACATACACAACAATATTAATAACCCCAAGTAATAAGTTCAAATCATATATTTCTTGCAACTATGCATAAGCAAAGCCAACTACATATAGTACTTCTTTCCTACTTAGAAGCCATGGATCTTGATGAATCTTCCTCACAATGCCAGCCTGTTTGGCCACAAGAAAAAATCATAATTACACAAAGCCACAACAAAGTGTTTAACATAAATACCTTGTTAATGTATACATATAGCATTACCTGAACAAGGAAGGTTGACACATTCTTTCTTTGGTCACCCTGGAGTTGTATGACCTAAGAACGTATAAAAAATTCATTCAGGCTTATATTCTATATACAAAACCTTTTCTCTCAAATAACAATCCTATTCTAACTAGATATGGATTTCGAAAACATTTAATCAATGGTCTGTGACTGACCTGGCCTAACTCAGGGTCCTGAACAACAGTACCATTACAGCAGAACTCTTTCTTGAGGTCCTTGAGAATCTTGTTGTAGCTGTAGTCCTCTTCATCACCTTGCACGGTTGTCAGGCTTTTCCTCCCATTACGTTGTTGAACACGAATATGGACGTAATCTTTTGCCCCAGCACCTGAGTCCTCAGCATTTGCCTCAGCGAAGGGATCTGCCCCACCATACAACAAACACAAATCAAGCAATCAAAAGACATATCTACTACTGTCATGGATACAAACAATACAACAGAATCAGCTTTAGCATAACTCACCAAAGGCACTTGGAATTCTGGTTGTCAAATTCAGACATGAACCTTGGTGTGAGGGGAAGAGTCAGTAACCGACAATTGATTCCCTTTAATCAATTTGACCTCAGCGGCAACCAAAGGCAGAAAGAAACACGTCAGTCTGAATTTGGAAACAAAACAACAATAACCTCTCAACTAGATTAGCTAAAGAAAAACTTCCTCACTCCATATGAGCTAACAATTCCATTTTACAATTTCTACGGACCAAATCCTATTGTAAAATTATTGGCTATACAATCTTACGGGCAACAACCATATCTTTAG